TTTTAATACGTTTTCATTAAAAGAAATCTGATAATATTAAATTTGATCATAAATGTGGTACAAGATTAGTCCATTTTTTAACTATCAATTAGAAAAATTTTTATAAAATTACTTTTAATACATACTAAATTTTACTAAATTGCAATTATAATGTTTTCATAGAATAAGTTTATTATGCCTACAACAAAAGTCATAAAAGTTAAAACTGCAATACACCCACACACATACATACGTAATTGATATATCTATCTGTTTATTTTACAGAGTGGAACACTTACGGATACGTAAAGAACAAATAAGCTGAACTTTCATCAAAGATTGTTGTAGATATTATTAAATTTTTTGAAATTCAAGTGAATTCTCGATTTATGGGTAATTTAATATATTGTGTATATAATATTTCAAAAGTATAATACATGTGTACATATATATTTTACATATTCTTTTTAGAAACGGAACTATTTTGTATTTGTGTGTATATATATATATATATAATTCTGTTAATAATAAAAAATTGACGAACGAAAAATATAATAGCATGGAAATTGTTATAATATTGCATTTTTAGTGAAAATTAATTCGTAATTCATAAATTTGAAACTTGAATTGTGTTAGCGGATGTGTTACTAAAGTACGTTTTATATGTATCAGACGTTGTTATACAATATTTCATATTATGTGTAATATATGTAATACTATAGTTACACAGTATAATCCGTATTATGTTGTAATATTTGTATTATTATTATTATTATTATTAATATTGATATTTGTAAAAAAAACGAGAGAATTTTTATTATTATTATGTATCAAATAATGTTTTACAAATGGTCTATTTATTTTAAAATACTACACAAATTTTTTTGTTTGTTGTTTCAACTGCAAATTTATTTCCATTCTAATTTTATTATAACCAAAGTGCAAATATTTTATAAATTTTATGTACACAGCTTTTATCTCTATGTGTATGAAAGCTAATAAAAGTAAATATTATTACTTTTATTCTTTCTGAATGATATTTAATCCTTTCATTTGAAAATTGTTAAACAGCTACAAAAATATTTGTTTACATTTTTGTTTACATACATACATGATAATTATTATGCATGAAAATTATTTTTATTTACAAAAACACTGACATCGACTAGCACAAATGATTGTCAAACAACAACTGAACGTCCAAAATGGTTATAATTTTCACAGATATCTTTCAAAACATGTATGTACGATTGTTGTACCAAAATGGGTTTTGACGAGTAATGCCATTTTTATGTTGAAGCTTAAAACTTTTAGACCCTCGTTCTTTGTATAAATTTGGTTTGATACCGCGAATAGATAATTTTCCAGTCATATACATGTAATTTCCATGTAAAATTACATGCATTTTTTTCAGTGTACATTCTCGATTGCACACACCATGATTCACATCGACCGGTACCTAGTAATTTTTTACTGCTTTACTAATTAGAATGTTTTATATTAAATTGGCTAATTGATTAATTAGCGATGTACGCAAGATGTGCGCAATCGGAGCCCTCTCCCCTTTAACATTGTGTAACATTAAATTTAAAAATTCCGGAAACCGCACATATAATATGAAACTTACAACCCATTTGATTGAATGCACTTAGTGCGTACTGATGCACGTTAAGGAAGAAAAACATGGTAATTTGCTATTAAACTCCTAATGGGATTCAATTATTCATTATATTTTTATAAATAGCTATGCAATGCTGTAAAAACAATTGACGGTTTCTGATTAGTCCTTATGCAAGTACAATACAGAATAAATCATAATAATATCATAAGGACATTATCATGACCCATATTTGTTACCTAAGTTTATTTTTAAATAATAAATATCGTTATGATAACGTCCGATCATATCATTTTGGCTTAATTATGATTCTGTGTTCTACTTGGGTATTTAATGTTATTATTCATTTAATTTTAAACGACACGTCATGACGAACTGACACGATGCTATAATCTGAGGAACGACATGTTTTAATTTTATATCATAATTTTTAAAATTGTGAATCAATGTTTCTGAACTTCGTTTTTTGTTTCCCATTGAGCGTATTGATTACTGCATTTCTGCCAATCTGCAAGTGACTTGCTCTCAATGGAGCTCTCAATTTTATATTTCTGTTTTTCTTTGAAGATGACTTCAAAGTGAGCCGAAATGTTCAATACAATGAATGAAGATAACCATTACAACTCCTGAATATTATTTGCATCTCCTAACTCTTCGCTCTTACATCAGCGTTTAACCCTCATTAGCTTTATCTGAATTTCTATTTTATTGTTATTTATTTAATGTTATTGAATGTTCAACGGTATTACGAATTGTTTGAGGTAGTACAGTAGACTGTCGTATAACGTGTACTTAGACAACGCGGTTTCCAATAATGTTTGTGGCAACCCTCAATTACGCAGTAAATTACCTTCATATTATATGGTTCTTTTTTAAATTGTGGCTTAGTACGGTCAGTTCATTGCTGTTGCAATTATTTTAGATTTTTGCGATAAAATTATTTCTGAAGGAAGGAACAATTTTGCTACATCTAAAATTTTAGCTTAGATACAGATTCGAAAATAATTTTTATTGGACTATTAAAATAATTATTATATATGTAGGACGCAAGCATAATAAACGAGCAATGTTGCAAAAGTTTTGTCATTTTAGCAACCAGCTTGATCATTCTACATAATTATTTCGATGGTTCAACAAAATTATTTTCAGATTTCTACGTTTTTTACAAGTCCAAAAAATGTGTATCATTTAATTTAGATTTTTATAATTCGGAGCTTGTCTTAAACGTTATATTAGGATTTATTCCCATACAGCACACTTTATTCCACAGATCTTCCTGAGAACTTCTGGGATGTTCTTTAGAATGTCCCTTGAAAATTTTTGCTTTTATTTAACACTGTTTATTTATGTCAAGCACAAGATTCTATATAACTTACTTTGACTATAATTACTTGTAATCCGCATATCTGTAATAATAAGATAATACTTTCTTCATTACGCAAATGTGACCGATTCGTATACGTGAGGCATTTATGAATACGATTTCCATATGATTATAATGAATACAATACAATTTAATCATAATACTGTACTTACGACGAGGAAAGTTGTAGAAATGTTTGTTACGTTTATAAAAAATTTTAACAGTTTTACTGCGTGATTCGAAAATATTCTACTCGTATTGAATCCAAACGTTGAAACATTGTCAATATCCGGTTCAAGAGGCCAGTCTGTTGATTAAAATTCATGACTTGTCAACGTGGCCTAGACCTCTATCAATATTCGATTGTATCTATTAATTGCGTTCAAAATATCTCTATTTTGTTATACATATATACATATAAATATATATACTTATATACTCGTATAACATAATTTAATAGTAAATCACATTATAATAAATTTCAAATATGATGTTAAAGGCTGTTTTTTTTCTGATTTGTCACTTGATCACCAGGACTTAAAATTATTTAACAATCTACTAACATACGAAACAGTTTGAATATGAATTATAAACAGCTCGAATCGTTTGAATTCTTCCTGGGAGTAAATAAATCAACAATTCAATAATAAATTCAAATAAAAGAGATATTCTCAATATCCCCCCCCGTCGTGATTTGATTTTTTTCTTTTACATCGTTAAATTTTGCGACACCATTTCCTATATCATAGATATGTATTTTAATATCTAACTGTTCAAAGTTGGATTAAATTTTAGTATTTTAATCTTTGAACGTTAAATTTTTTTTCCCCATTGTTTCATTAAATGTTATAATGTGTAGATCCAATTAGTTTGAGCTTATGTGTATTTGTATGTATATTCTTGTTGTATGTGCCTTCTATATTTAGTTCTCTTTTTTTTGTTCTGCATCCTGTTTCTTGCAAACAAAGAGAATATCGGAGCGGTAACCTTGGCTCCATCTTTTCATATATATCACCATTTTAAATACTTCATTCACTTTGTTCTCTTTGTAATTATTAAACTTGTTCAGAATTCAATCTTGTACAGAAGCGTACATAATGTTATTATTATTAAGTGTTATAAAAGAAAAAGACAAATATAAAATAATTATTCTTATTTGCGATGAATACTATTTTTTCCTTGAATTGTCCTTAATTATTTAAATTGTTATTGCGTTGATTGTTGTAAATTAATTATACAGTTTAAGGACATGTATTACACATGTTTACAAACTAATGAAGACATTATAAAAAATTATACATTGTTTTAGATTGTATTTAAAAATAAAACAAAATGAAATATTTAGCGACGATTTAAAACTTGCAGAATCCAAAATTATTTTAAAATACTTTAATACTGTATTTAAAATAACGTAAAGTTATATTGCAATATACAGGTTAGTAATTCTTTTATTGCAATGAAATTTTGTATAAATCATTTTGAGTACGTACTCAAAACATTTATGTAAAACAATTAAATTTTTTGTCATTGAAATTTTGAATTTTGATGTTATAACAATAAAAAAATAATAAATAATGTAAATAAACTATAAAAAAGAGTTATTCAATAAGAACGCTATAAAGATAACTTTCATATCTATGGAGTTTATTTAAAATATTAATACAAATATTAATACATTGTAAAAATTGTGCAATGCATCCTTAACCATTAGTTCCACTCAAAGCTCAGACGTTTTCATTTCAAGACAGCTCGACCGCGCGATTTCTTCAAATCTGCGTAAGAGAATCTTGACTCAAGCTTGACTTGATATCGTCAGAAGTTTTATTAATATACTGAAATGTTTTAGCAGTAGTCATTTTTGTAATTTTTCATACATGTAATTTATGTGCATATAAAGTTTCTTTTTAAATAAATGTAATTATCTTGATAACATTATTTGCACCGAATAATCACACGTTCCGCACCGTCATATAAAGGTGGGGAAGACTTGTGGCTTTCAAACAGTTCTGACTGGATTGTTTCACAGTTCTCATTGGCGATTCGTGCTGACGATACTGACCCAGTCTTCCAGGAAACCTTTCCTCTTTCTCTGCCTTCTGCAATCCACTCGAGCGCCATTCGCGACGAGGAAAGAGATAAAAATCGGTGAATCAACTCGGCACGGTCCTACGTTCATTGGCGCTTATGTTTGTTTTCATAATATCTAATTAAATATTTCGGTGTGAATGAATCGAAGTCTCGGCGATGAAAGGTACATAGTTCTAAAACGTGAAAATTATTTTAAAACAAAGTTGTGTGCGACTCTAAGGATCAGCGTACGATTGACTGTTCGATTTTCAAGATATCTACGAGATCATTGAGATAATCTTGGTGAGTACTCGCATTTCTTTATATTTTGCATTTCGTTACTGAGAAAAATGTTTCGATTATACCAGTAAAATATGTTAAAATTTTGATAGAATTATACATATCTGCAATGATTATTATGGTTGAACTCTCGATATTTTATAGCAAAAACGTTTGTGATGCACTTAACTATGTAAGAATTTGGTTAGTATTTTTAATTGGATTTTAATTGAATTGGATTAGAATTAAAATTCGAATTCTATTTACTAACAAGTTCTTATTAAAAAAACCTTCTGATCTAATTAAATAAATTTAATATTATTGTATAACAATTCTTGTATACTTAATAGAAACAAATTTATCATGCTTGTTTTATAATTTCTAGAAGAATTTTGATTCGTTTATTTTCCAGTAGACGTACTGATTAAATCTATCAGACTTCTAATTTACGTAACCAAATTTTTTCTAGTGTTGTAATTTTTATTATGTGCTTATACTAAATGAAAAATATATGTGTTTTTCATAAGATTTAAAATTTGTTTTTCCTCATTTGCTATTTTTTATATTTTTCTACATTCATTTTTCTTATCTGCTCGCTTTAATAAATACGAGTAAGGTGTTTGCTTTTTAAAAAGTATAAAAAATTCAGTTGAATGTTACTAAAGTATTATTTGTTATGAGAAATATAAATATATTATGCATTTACCTTTTCGATAACGGCTAAGCATTCATCTAATAATAAGTATATTTTCTTTTTAATGTAGTTAATATTAATTGTTATATTTTGTATTATTAACTGTGATATTAAAAAGCGAAAGTTGTAATAGTAATAAAAATAATAACAATAACTTAGAGAATTACATGCTTATATATAACATAATAAATCGAACCTAGTATGGTAGAAAAAAAACGCTGAAAAATGATAATCATAAATATTTCAACTATCACTCATTAAGATATTAATGATATTTATTTAGTACTTTTTACGTAAGTATCACCACTGCTCTTTGTTCGCATTGCATTTCAAATTCGTTAAAACACTTGATTGTGCTGAGTGAAACAATAGACAGATTTCATTAACGCTTATTCATAAGTATATATATGTAAAATTTTTACTGGTGTGTCATTCATTCTGTATAATAATAATAATAATAAAAACAACAACAACAACAATAACAATAACTTTTATTATGTTGTATACATAGGAATATAATTATATATAAAATATCTTTTACTTTTTATTTTTAAGAAGTTGTTTTTTAACAAATATAATCTTCTTTTCTATGCAACAATTTTCTTTCTATTTAGTCTTCTTTTCGATCTTTATAGAAATTTAATACAAGTACTGGCTAATTAATCACTTACTTTGAGTATTTTTAATACTGAAAATGAGTAATTTATTGCCCAGTATTAGTATTAAATTTCTATGAGAATTAATAATTTCATTCTTGTTTTCTATTTAACAAATTCTGCCTTCTTTTCCATGCAAATTTAAATTTATATGGATAGTTCTGCATACTAATTTATATGCATACAATAATTCTGCATATATAATAACAATATATTTTGGATAATTTTTCTTAAAAAATAATAATACATCTATGTTTTTAATAATGTATGTACGTAATAAAAAAAGACAATGATGTCACGTATGTTGATCGATAAATATTGAGTAGAGTGATATATAAAATAAATGGACTAATTTCGGTAACACCAGATAGCCAAACGTGCAAAAGTCACAGCTGAACAGGCGGTGATTTTCAATAGTTTAGATATCGTACTGATATTATGCAAGTCAATGTTGTCAGATTTTAGTTACTGCTTCAAAGTATCTGACAGTGCTAGCATTAAATCAAAATTGCGTACTGTAACTTTAAAAACGCATGGTGCTTTTACGCGTATCGGGTTTCTTGCCGAATCCATGTGCCCGTTCTAAGCTCGCACGTAGATTTCTCCCGTGCGCGATCGTATTGTCAGCATTAAAACAAAACTGCGCACTATAACTTTGAAATTGCACGGCGCTTTTATGCGTGACTAGTTTCGTGCAGAAAAATATTCTATATGTCCAATTTTCAAGCAGTGCACGACATCGCCACTAGAAGGACACAGCGAAGTTCAATTTTTCTCGTGTTTAAAAAACCACATCCAGTAGGATAAAAAAAGGCGCAGTATGATGAGACTTCTCAGTCAAAAATTTTATTCCTTTTTTTGATAAAATGTCTGCATTCAGTAGACTCAACATTTGAGTCTGTTGAACGCAGCCAATAATGAGATGAGTTCCCATAATTAGGCTCCAAGAATGAAAACTAATAAAAATTTTACACGCCGTAACAGGATTGTGTGCTTAGTGTGCTGTTCCAAAAAAACAGAATTTGTATTATTCATTGTGCAGTCAACATGCTGCTACAATGTAACTATGTGTCAGCTATAAAGTTAACGTCGTGCTGGCAATGTGCGGTTAACGTGCTGTTTACGTGATTTGTTTCATGTGACTTCACGAATTTCAATATATAATGTCTCACATGAGTGTACCATAATGTGTAACATGCGTGCACAGCGTAACGTTTCAAAGCTTCACGACTACGCAACGGCTACTACGGTTACTGTGCCGTATAAATGCTACCTGGGATATATATATATATATATATAATTAGTTTTCCTTTCACATAACATACTTCTACGGAAACTATATCCACATTTACGTTTAATATGTTTATTACAAGGAGAAACTTGTTCTCTGGAAAAAGTTTTGCTCTTCAAGAAGGACAAGTAAGTTTCATTTTTCGAGGAGAAAAATTTTTCTGCAAAATATTTGCAACGCGTACATTGATCAAATGCATAATGTATGTATGCTGTTGAATAAGCCAGAGCAAAGTGAGAAATTTAAGTTTTCAAAATTTAAAAATTAACGTCTAGTTTGCCAACAACAAAGCAAAATAATAGACAAAGATGTTTCTTTGGAAATGCATGTATATTCTGTCAAAACAATTGCATTTGCTCATTAGCAAGTGCGCGTGATTTTCTGAATGATTCAGGAAAATTTCAATGTCATAACAAACTTCCAGTAACTTTATTTTGCAGCAAAGGTAAAAGCGTTAGGCAAAATGAATAGTTCGATATTCTCGCGTAACAAATTGCCAAAGTTAAATTACTGAAATGGATAGGCTATGATAACAAGCTGCAGGCTGCGTAATAGCCGTAGGATGACTGTTATCTCTTCCAAGTGAGTTCGGAAGTGCTCTTGATAGAAGGATGAAACTTAATTGGAGTGTTCATGATTTCAATTAATAATACGCGATTCACTTTTGGAATTCTGATATGTAGTATTGTTAGAAGAGTTAAATTATACAAAGTAATATTTGAAAAATTATTGCTCCTAAAAATAAAATTGAATTTTTTATTAGAAACAAAAATATTACATTATAAACTTTGGAAAATTAAATCATTGTTGGAAAATAATTACATACATGCGGATTATCTCCGTGTCTAGATCCATCGTTAGTATGTTAATATTTCGTAAACATTGCAATTTACTTTATACAAGAAGCAATCTGATCCTAAATGATCGTAAATGCGTATAACATAAAAAAATAAAATGTTAATTTTAACTTAAAGACGTATAGTAGATTTTTTGAGACATGCAAAAATGTTATTAAAATTAACACAAAAATATTAAGTCTCAGAAAATCCACTATACATCTTTAAATTAAAATTAATTTTTTATTTTTTACAGTGTATATTAATTCAGTATATAACTGAATTTTAGATGTGTTTATTAATTAAAATGTTTATTTAATGTATAAACAATGTAATTTAAAAGCAATATAGAAATATATATAATATACATATTTCTATATTGCTTTTAAATTGTGAACGGAGACTTTTGTTCTTTTTCTGAATTAATATAGAAAGATAGTAATTTATTCAAAAAAGAGAAAATTTGGGAATGTATATCGTCATTTTCTTATATAAGTCTTGAAGTAGCTCGTTATATTTAGCTTTTCGTGTTAGCGACAAAACTTGTTCTACGCATGTAATTTACATACACGCACACACAATCATATTTGTACTTCCGTGACATAACTAAAAAGATTCTGATGAACATGTACTTAGATTCTCGACTGACTGGAAACGGAATGTGTAAAAGTAGCATTTTGGTCCCGTTCCAATTTCCTTTCGCGCATTCGTTGAAATTATATTTATCTTCGTAAAACTTGCAAAATATCGACATAGCGAGTGAGTTAACTCAATAGCGAAATATCATGTTTCGGAGCCGGTTATTGCACTTCGGATAAACTATGTAGTAATTTAGCGCCTAAAAGAGAGAGCAAGAAAGAGAATGAGAGAGAGAGAGAGAGAGGGGGGAGAGAAAGATTAAGCTGAGATTAATCGAAAGTTGAACTAACGCTGCCTCGGATTGTCTACTTTATACAGTAAAAGACATTTTATATTGGTGTTGAATTGATACTCAACTTTTCTAATGGCGAGTTCGATTGGAAGCACTAGTGCGCACTGATGCCATTGTATATTTAATTTAATTTGAGTATAAAAGTGAAATGCATATATTTCGAATTATAAAATACATATTTTACCTAATAGTACAATAAAATATATTGAGTATTTCAGGATTTAATCGATTTCTATGTTTATGTATAAACATATCTTTACGTTATTTTGTGTACGACGGTTTTAATGTGCGCACTGAGTGCGTTCAATCGAATTCGCTACAGTTTATAAATATAATAAAATAATAAATAACATAAAAATAATGTAATTTTAAAATAAATCTAAGCTAAATGAATAAAATTTACAAATATATTTTTTTATAAACCGAGCACCGATTCGGATTTGAAATGCAATGAGTCCGACAAGTCGAAGCAGCACGGAAGGTGTAGAAAAATGTATTTGCAAATTTATATATGAATATTATTAAGCACCAAGATTCGATTCAAAATAGAATTTTTTCTTTTATTTGATTTAATCTTATCTCATTGTGTCAAAGTGTTATATTTTTTGTGTTATAAATTTAACATAACGCTTCTGTTATTTTAATCATATTTATCTCGTGATAAATTAACACAAAAATTGGACCATTTGGGACATGTAAAATGTATTAAATTTTACACAAACTTTCCAGCTGTATTACCTTCGCCGGACGATAATTCGATTGCTATAATTTTTTGACAGATACTCATCGAGCTGTGATCTTAAATATAATGACATCAATCGTGATCACCAAGGACAAATTTTCGCTGACGGTATGCAAACAAGAATTATACGAGCACTGGTTGAAAAATGCTCCAAAACTTATGTTTGGTGAACATCAGCTTTCAATTGAAATAAGCGAAATCGATGAGCTCTTCATCCAGAAGGCCAAGGAAGATTTACGGGAGACGCCAGAAATTGTTGCTCAAGGTTTCAAGGAATTAAGAGAGCTGCTTGCAGGTAGCAAAAGCTTAATTGTATCAGGAATGTAATTATACATTGCGCTGTTATCTCGGCAAAATTGTCTCAGCAAAATGATGTCTCAGATTAAGGGACGAGGAGTAACAAAGGAAACCAGTACATATATTGTATGAACCAGTTTGAATAATTAAACCTCCAATTCTCTCGTATGATGATTAGTTGCTCGGACGCTCGATATCCTTGTCATTTTCTTCGCGTGCAGAATATGGTATAAGAGGAAAATAAAACCAAGGACATCATGCACCCGAGCACTTTTTCTTATATATTTGTTTGTTTTTATTCTCTGACCGGTTTTCTACATACGTATCGTAAGATGAAAGCGAAATTAAGCAAAGTGTTCTTGACATTTTCTTTCTTGTGATTTTCTGGTAATATTGGTTTCACTTGAAAATTGCTCTTACCTAATTAGAGAAACGTAAGTTATCATTAGAACAAATTGCGTTGGATTTCGTGTTTGCAAAATTTAAAGAGAAACTAAAAATAATTAATCCGCGCAGAGAGGCGCGATAAGTGCAACAAAAAATTTCCTTTTTACGTAATCTTTAATTATATCTGGTGTAATTCTAGCAAAATGCAATGATTTGCTCAATTAGACAAACTAGAATGCTGTATCATTGTAAAAAAATTATGCAATTCACAAAATAGTGACCGATCAATTCTTTTTTACGCAACTCATAGAATATAGCGATTAATTTTTTTTGTTCGGAGAACGTTAGCGAATGATAAATCGAACAATAGTGTGAGTTGACATTTTTTGACATACCAATTGAATCATTGAAACATAACTTTGACATACCAATTGAATCATTAAAACATAACTTTTAACTAATAACATTTTGTTAGGTTGAATTTTAATATACAGACAACAAAAAAGATTTCTATGTGAGAAAAATAATAATGATTATATGACATAAAGTCGTTTTAAATGTACGCGTGTACTTACATATTTAATTTAAATTGATAAAATATGTTTTATTTACAATTTGATGATAGAACAAGACATGTCAAAATCAATATAAGTTTAGAGCACTTTTGTATATACTATAACCAAATTGAATATTAAAAACCACTGACTGAAGAGTAACTCAATAGAGATTAAAACCAGTTTTGCAATTCACATATGAATATAATTATTTAATTACACTTAAAAATTTGATTAATCCTAATAAGACAACATCTTACTTCAATCATAACATGTTTGTACTGTATTACTTATTAGCGATAAATAAGATTGTCAATATATATAATTCGTATTCAAACCTCTAAGATTCTAATATTTCAAATAATCGGTTTCAAATCTCTATGATGAATTGAGTCGAACCTTACTCAATTCCTATTCGAATGGTTCGCATATCTCTAGTTTTCAGAATAAAAACGAAATTTTGCGTGCAATTACCATATATGCATGTTCTGCAACGGTCAATTTAACAATGGTAAAAGTATATGAATATGGTAGATGAATTCAACCATATTCACATGAATCTAGTAAAAACGAAAGTTGCTTGCTACTGCAGCTTTGTACTAATCTCTAACGGAGTCACGCTTTTTGCTTACGAACGAGACGTGTAAAAATTATTCTGCTACAAATAAAAAGTTACATTTTTTGGAGACATCATCAATTATTAACATAATCGAATTATTATATACAAGATGTTTTTTTTTAGTGTTATTTAATATCTTAGGAGTTGATTTTTCAGTCATTTTACGAAAAATTTGTATGAGTATAATAGTCAAAGTTCTCATTTCAGATGCAGGGTATAAAAGAAGAAAACATGATAATTTTGTAAATTTTTTAACATTCTGTAACGAATTCTTTGCGACTGTATTTATACATGAATATTTTCTTCATAAAATGACTTCAAAAATTAACTTATAAAATATTAGACAATTCTTAAGAAACACTTCGTATAATATGATAACGCAATATAACAAAAAAGTATTCAATTAATTAAGAAAAATCCTATTTTCGTTCAAAGCGGATCTTTTAGTGCTTCAATGTTTTGATATTGAATTCATATTCAATTGGTGCAAACCGCGCGCCGAAATTTTTTTCAATCTTAAAACGCAATTACGAGCGAATTGGAATAGTAATATCACAAATTAAATTGACAAGCAATTTAATAATAGGTACTGATTCTAATAAGCATCTTAGAAAGTTATTAATACTTTGATGCTAATAAGTATATTAAAAAAGCTGTAAATATAACAAGGCCAAGAAAACGAGCAAAAATTAAGGTGATCACTTAATAGAAATCTTTATCATTCATTAAGAATCTAATGGAACGTTAATTGGCTTACTTCCATCAAAGATGGCACTTAAACCATCTTCATCCATCAAAGAAAATTAATCCATATCGCAAAACAATTTTAAAATTAATTCATGAATGATCGCACTCAATAATCTTAAATAAACATTTAACGATATTAATAACGAAAATACGAGGCACAGTGTTTTACAAATTGTAATTTCTTCTTAAAGTTTGTTACTATTATCGAAATGTAATGTAATGTCGAACCGAGTTAATTTCATTGTCATGCAGAAGTGGGGCAGAATCAAATTTAAAGGTGAAGGTCAATGGTAAAGAATTGTGTAAAGGCTTTACTACTCGAATACAAAAAATATATAATATATATATATATATTAGGTTAGGAAAAAGGACTTTTTACCAAGTTGTAAAAGACTTTTCTTCAATATCTTCGTTAAAGATGATCAAAATTTAAATTAAAAAAAAAAGGGTTTTAAAGCTTGAAATCTCTACTTTCAAATGGTTACTATATTTTTTGAATTTATGTGAGTTTTGTAATTTTTACATATAGAAAATTATGAGCTGAAAAAAATGAAAAATTTTCTTTTACTTTGTGGCTCTGTAGTATGCCTAAAAAAATTTTTGAGCAAATTTTTGACTATCTATCGTGATAGCTCAAAGTTTTCTCTACAAAATCGTTTTTTAAAAATGTTCCTACGATTTTTTGTTCTTGAGTTACTCGTGGATTAAGAACATTCTGATTTTATTGCTCATAACTCCGTTAAAAATTACGTATCGTAATTAAAAATATAGATTCTTAAAGCTGAAACATTGCTCTATCAAGTAGTGTAATTGCCAATTTTTTAAAAATAGAATATATGGGAAAAAAGTCTTTTTACCAACTTGTAAAGGGATTTTTTCCCTAATCCAATATATAAGTGATTCTTAAAAATATTATTTTTGAATGAAATATCGTTAACTTGAGTATGATAAGTTTTAGACATCTATTACTCATTCAGTTTTTTTGTCATCACTACATTGTTATAAAAAATATATTAATTTTTATGAAATAAATTTTTATTTAAATACGATGCAATAAAATTTTATTCCTAGTAGATAAGCCGTTTATTTTATTTTTTTTATGATAATTGTTATAATAATTAATCAGATATATATGTTTCACAGAAATGTATGTTTGTTATCATAATCAAATTCTTTCATAACTAATAAATATTCAAGACAAGATACGTCGTAAGAGTTAGGTCTCATACGCAATAGTCGCACAGTCTCGTAGGTCACAAGTTTGTTGCGATATCCAATCTGATGTGTCAATATTAAAGTTGAGCTTGCGATTTGCGACAGAGACTGTACGACTATTGTAGATGAGGCCCAAAATTTGCTTCGCAATATAATACTTCGACAGTTTTTTCTCAGTGTATTGACATTATGACTAACGATTCACAATTATCATAATAAAATAAAATAATAAAAGATTTGGTAATTGTATTTATCAGATATACATTCTGCGCTATAATTAGTACGTTTTAGGCCTTTGATCTCAGAAGTATATGCTTTATAGAAGTTTTAGGCCTTTGATCTCAGAAGTATATGCATTATCGAAGAAAAGCGGAAAAAGAATATTTAAATAATGTGATAATTATATCCATTATTAATTGTAAATTATTTTATTTCGTGATAGAAAAATATGCGGATATATTTTATGTATTAATAATAACAATGTAGTCTTTCTTATCTTTGATCCGATTTTATTTGTATAAATTATACGCGAAATATTCTATACACACATTATAACACAGAATTGGAATATAAACATTTAATTTTTTTGTTTCTTAATAAACTTTATTTTGTTAAACTAATAAGTCGTTTATTATCGTTTATTTTTTTTTGTTTCTTTAGGGGAACCTGATCTGCATTTACCGGACGAAGACGACTTCTACATAACGTTCTTGCGACCATGTAAATGGTATGCGAAAAGCGCTTTCTCGCTCGTAAGTCATATCTCGTAATGTTTTATAAATGTTCTATAAATGTTCTATAAAGATTTTTTTGCCTAATTTGATATTGTTTTTTTTTTCCTGTATATCAATTCAATTTTGCATACTGAACATAAAGGAAAAATTGAATAGAAAGTAAAATAGATAAAAAAATTTTTAATTAATTATAATGAGACTTATTGTTAATATTAAGAAAGATTGGAGCCGGTTAAATACTTTTTAAATAACAATTTAAAAAATATAGACGTAAGATTTTTAAATATTATATGTATACGTTATACTACACATTTTTTAGGTATTAACAATATATTACTCTTACATTATATGGTACAAATAAGTTATTTAATTTTGAATAAAACTATGAAAATGTAACAATTTTAGCCCCTTAATTGGGATTGATTATCATACGTTTCAAGATGGTAGAATTGACATATTTGACATGGAATAGAAAATACATAAAAATAAAATTTTTATTTTAATGTTTTATACTTCATAAAATAATAGTAATTATAATATCGATACAAGTAAAATATAATTATTCTAATCATAAAATTGTTCTGGTATTATAGTTTGTAAAAAAAAAACATTTATATAAAATATATATACATATATTCGTAAACACACATATAGAAATATATATCCTATAGAAATGCATCTAAAAAGATAAAATTGACTGTTACTTCTCGAATCTCGCCTTATAATAGTCAATCTACTCCATATAGCTTTTAAAAAGAGATGTAACAAAGCATTCACATAAGAAGCTCTTTTACGATGATATTTAATGTTAAAATTTGAGAAAGTGTACTAACAATAAGCAATAATTACCTCAACGTTTTCGAGAAGAAGAATCGCTTCTAAATTAGTCGAGGCTACAGCTAAAACTGGGAAAAACATCCGATTAATTTTAGGACGTATTTCTTCTGCATTTGATATAGAATTTGACAATAATAATTAATTGTTTTTAAGTAATTATTATATCATTGCTAAAATATTTATATTTTACTCAACAGATAAAACGATACTATCGATTCCGTTTAAATTATCCACACATATATAGCGATTTGTTGGTCACCAAACAGAAGACTGCACTTTGCGCCGGTTTGATATATCCATTGCCGATTCGTACTCAAGAGGGAAGCAGAGTGGTAGTAATCGAGGCCGGAAAACGGTGGAAACCGAAAGAAGTGACGACTAATGATTTTTTCAAAGGCCTGATATTGATCTTATTTCTGGCGATGGCGGAATACAGAACTCAGGTTTGGTAAAAAATACTTCTTCGATTGATTTAAGATATAGATCGGCATTTATTAATACTTAAAATTAGTTTTGAATTTTTAGCAAAAGATTTGCATGTATTGTAGGGATAATTCCGATCTCCAAAAAATCGATCTTCCCAAACGGCAATAGCAATTTTAAATTGATCTATTTTATGAAAAACTAATATTTTTAACTAAAAACTAATTATTTTAAACAGATGTCTTTGTAAAGAATAGCTTTTTTTAAACAAGGAGAACTATTTTGAAGCGATCTTTTTACAAAAAAATCGATTTTTAGCGAATCGATCCAAGGAACGCACATTCCTAATTTGTGATCTCTAGAGTGCTACGTAAGTAAATGTGCGAAGTCGTGTACTTATAATTACGGAACTTTTTTGTTTCTTAGATCGCGGGCACGCGTATCATTTTAGACGTCGAAGGTTTATCTCTTAGCCATGTGACGTATATCACACCAAGTTTTGCTAAAATGATGGTAGATTTTATACAAAAATGTTTGCCCACTCGGCTCAAAGGTATCCATATTGTGAATCAGTCCTTCATTTTCAACATGGCATTTGCAATATTCAAACCATTCTTAGAGGTATGATCTTATGATTTTAAGTTATATAACTATCTTATGATTTACCCTCATAAGTTGCGTAATAATAAACTTTACGAAATTTTAAAATTTTTAGTAAAATCTTTATAACACGTTTATGTGCGTTGTATATCACAGGAGAAGATTCGCAATCGGATTCACTTTCACGGGACAAATTGGGATTCTTTAAAGGATTTCATTGATAAAAGGGCATTACTTAAGAAGCATGGGGGCGAGTTGAAAATGGCCGAAGGACAATACGGCGTGATGTTTTGGCAGAATATGCTTTCATGTGAACCCGCCTTCGAAGGTAATGGTATACGGAAAAAAATGATGTATTCGTAGCCGACAGCAGTCTAATTGAAAATATTTTATTAATTCAGTGACAGTATTAATACATCACGGAAAAAAAATTAATTTAATGAGTGATACAACAAACCTATAACTTACTGCGCAAATTCAACATCTATAACTATTTGATGGTTTAACAAATCGCTAATGTTATACAGCTGTCAACTTTGCTACTTTAACATAGAAAATTGACTGTCTGTATATTACGATTGTAGATTTGCTGAATCAGTGAAGTTTTCAGCTGTTTTTTTTTTCCGTGCCGGGTCAAGTTATAAGTAACTTGATAAGCATTAATAATCTATTATTTTAAACGATTAATTAGTTATTCTTTAGTCTTGACAGGAGAGTGATGGACAAGATTATCTGCACCTCAAATTGCACTATAGTCAAAAAGAGTAATCGATTTATAAGCACGTCTATTTAATATAATCTCGTTCTCTAAAACTAAATAATTAATCGATTATGCCCATCACTATATCACTTAGCGTAACCCACAATATTTTTATTTACATTTATTATAATAATGTATACAGGGTGTCTGGAACTTAAGAGTCAAAACTTCGGGAGCGTGTAGGGGATCGATAAACTAAAAAGAAAAGTCCTGTAGAGATATGCTCGTTTTTGCTTCGTTTTGGAGAAAGTCGCAAAAAAAGACAAAACGTAGTTGCTTCGTTCTTGCACTGCCTCTAAAGTATTATCATCGCTATAAATCGTACACGAAAACAATAATAATAATAATTCCGATTTCAGTTGAAAACTATTTTTGTTTGTTTTTGTCTAGTGAGACCATTTTTTTTACCCGACAGATTATATGCAGCAGCGCCAGATATACAAATTTTTGAAGACTGACTTCTTTGATTATTTAGAAGACATGCATCTGTAGCAACAGATTGAAATGTGGTTTCAACTCGATGGGTGTCTAGCTCATTATGGCAGAACTACTCAAGCTTGGGCTAGACAGACATTTTCCACAACGATGAATTGGACGTGGAGAAATAGTACCTTGGCCACTCCGATCACCTGATCTGACACCTGGACTTCTTTGTGGGGGGTGTCCTGAAGCAGGAAGTTTATTCGTCGTCAATCAACTCAAGAAAACAATTGAGAAATCGAATACATTAAGCAAGTGAATAAATACAACGTAAATAAATACTGAGGAAGTACAAAAATGAAAACTATACGATTTGTCTTTTTTGCGATTTTCTCCAAAAAACGAAGTAAAAACGAGCATATCTCTACAGGACTTTTTTTCTTAATTTATCGATCCCCTACACACTTCCAAAGTTTTGATATTTAAATTCCAGACACCCTGTATATTGTAATATACTTAAATAACATATATTTCATAATGGCCAAAAAATTACAAAAATTATTTAGTAATATAACTCATACAACACAGAACTTTGTTGTGTGTGTAGGGTAAAGTTGTCACACAAAATCGCATCGGCTCTTAAATCGCACTACCTCGCTTAAAAATTCAATTATTGTATATTTATATACTTTCTTATGGGTTATTTAAGTACCTGCATGGTACTGTAATGCTACTCTGCTGTTATATTTGTGACATGAAGTGCAACAGGAGTGTTGTTATTTAAATAAAAAAATTGTGATAGCGTTGCTATTTTCCAACGTATTTCACAGCAGAGAATTACAGAAAATATAAGTTAAATATCATATGTTTCAGAAATTACGAAAAATATATTCTTAAGTTTTTATATAAAATACAATTTTTTCCCTTTTTTAATGTAATTTTTAAACTTTTTACATTATCATAATGTTTTAAATGAAGAATATTGGTATGGTGCAATTTAGGCAACGAATTTCCTCGTTGTCAAAATTGCACCATACTAAAAACATCCTCATTTTAAACGTTATAATAGTGCAAAAAGATTATGAAAAAATTACATAAGAAAGGTAAGAGTGCAGTTTATTGTGTTGTAAAAAATTTAAGAATATTCTTCATAATTTCTGAGTTATGAGCCTTTAAGTAAAAAGTGGAGCGATTTCGGCAACCTTACCCTATATACATATATAAATTAACGTTTGGCTCGCGATTTGAATCATATCAATAAAATCTGTATTTTGTTTCAGTTGACCAAAATTATGGATACGTAACTAATAAAGATAAGATATGATCTTTGCCGAAATTTGATCGATCAATACGTTACCATCATCAATCATTATGGTTTTGAACCATATGCATGAAGCTATAATAAAAAATGATAAAATCATTGGTGTCCGGTACTTGAGAGATGCGGATATACAATAGCTTGCGGCCGTCACTTCGATCTGAAATTCGTAATCGTGCGAAAAGAGTGCGAAGTGTCTTATTAAATCATACATGATCTGTTAAAAGTAAATTTTGAATTTAAAGAAAATACAATATGTCAACAGCACTGATGAAAAGTATTATATAAATTGTGATTTATGAGAAGAATTATTTATAGTATCTTTTATTTTTGAAAAAGCTTCTTGTCCATCCAATTTTTAAAATTAAGTAATATTAAATGAATACAAAATTATATGTAGAGACTAGAGTTAAGATATTTTAATAATATACGGTAACATAAAAAAAAATAAGAGAGAAAGAGAGAGAGAGAAAGAGCGAAAGAGATTGTGTATATTAAAAAAGAGTATAAGAGAGTCTATAGCCTGATTATATGCTTTCTATTATATTAAATGGATTAAAAAATATAATAATGTACTTTTTGTTGGTGCTATAATACGTAATTGCGTATTATCAAGTAAAACACACACACAATAAATATATATATTTTATAAACATATCTATAATTTATTAAATATATCAAGTTCCCATACATATAATAGCAACGATTTCTATAACATAATACATACAAATTTAATTTTATTCTAAAATTACGGACCAAACATACATTTAAGTACATAAGTTACATTTAATTTTAGAATTTTAAATAAATAGCAAATTATATATATGTATATATATGTATATATACAATGTATATACATATATATGCATTTTTAATGTATGATATAAATATATATCATTCATTATATACGAAATCTACGCAGAATGTATAATGCTTTTATCACATGATTACAGAGTGATTAAGATTAAGATAAAAATTAAAATTACATTGATCCCACCTTAAATAAGATCATTGACATGTAATTGATCTCAATTTTTTCCGTATCAAAATTTAAAAATAAATACAGAAATAATGTGATCATTATATCATGAATAATTATATTATTATAAGATAATGTTACATTATCTTATACAATTTTACTAAATTGTTGAAACAAGAAATGAAAATTAAAAGATAATAATAAGATTGAAAGACCGCTAATGTTAAACATAATAAATTTAAATTAAGAAGCGCCATAACGGTCAGAACGTTAAGATGTTGAACTATTGTAAATTCATTTAAATGAATTAATTTCAGAAATGATAATTGCGTGCCGATATGGTTGTCGGACTTTCAACGCAATCAAATCTGAAAATATTAATAATCCCCCCAAATTCCCCAACTTAAAAACTGTAATAAAACTTATTGCGAAAAATAATGCCTCGGCCGGGAGTCGAACCCGGATCTCTTGCATTCCGTGTGAAAATTAAAAGGCTGTACTATAATATATATGTTATAAATAAATTTACAAAGTGAGCAAGACTTCGTGAAAACAATATTTCGAGGAGTGAATATACTCATACATATAAGAACGATCTATGATTGTCGTAATTGATATTAAATCCAATATTTTTCCTCGGAAATGTCGCGCTTTATAATTGTTTCTTCGTATTTAACCCAAATATCTATTTTTTAATGTTACAAAATTAGCAATTGAGAAATTATGTCTTTTTATAGCCATACGAACTGATAGCTGCAACAGAAAAAAGATCGAAGTTTTATTAAAATACACTCGCGTCAAATAGCTTTTGAACCTTATTTCAATTTTGTCATTTTATTTATTTTGTTATTATTATAAGACGTGTGATGTAATTTTCTTTTGGACATACCTTCATATTCCTTGTCGACCTGTATTAGCAAGGAGTACCATTCGGGTCCCTTTATCGTTCTTATTTCCAGCGTGCCACCGTATTGCGCTGGTAGACATTTCGGCGAAATGTATTGATGCAATGATTTGCGGTCGGTACCGTGAAAGATTATCTAGCAGAAGAAAAAAGTGAAGAAATATATAAAAACCGAATTAGCAAATCAAATCATCAATATTTAAGGAAACTAAATCCTACTTGAAATATAATAATTTATCGTTATATATACTTTTAACTCTACTGTTAATCTAAGCAACTTATATGCGGCGTATATACATTCTATAATATTTTACTCTCTGTTAATTTTGTAATTAAATATTGTTTTTTAAATAAAATTAATTTTTTAAATTAATTTTTTTAGAAGGCCATTCCTGTTTCTCTTTGAGCCATTATGCAATGTCGCTACAATTTTATAGTGTTCTAAGTAATAAATGTTTTGTAACTTTGAGTCTAGAATCGATTGAACATTTTGCCAAATGTAATTATTAAGTTTCAAATTTAAATATTGATTATTAATCAAATTATTGTATAAATTTATAAAACGTAAATGGGGGGCCATAATATCATCTTCTCTTCTATGTAACTTCTCATCTCTGAATTGTCGCAATATTTTTCTAGAATCTGCTGACAAATTGATAGCATAGGTATTGCTAATATTTTGATTCATAGTATACTCACTCTGCTTTTCAACTTCTCTTTCAGGAACGGTTTGAATAGAGCGAACACCATGTTGAATATATACGGTTGGTTCACAATGTGTATGTTTTTTACCCTCACAGGCATTGCCTCCTGAAGCAAATCGACTATCCTCTTAGCAAACGGCGGAGTAAACTGCCAGGTTTGTTGGAGTGTGAGACCATCCATGTCAAAGACGACAATTGCGCCAGCAATCTGTGTGCTCGGCTCCAGCATGGCCGCTTCCAAATACAATACACATCCTTTATAGACTTCGTCGAGGCTGCACTTGTTATGCTTCCATTTCTTGCCGAGTTCAATTATCAGTATACGTCGGCCGTGCTGATCGCGATTAGGTAGCACGGTTAGGATATTTTGCTCGAAGACATTTTTCTCTCTACTCGGCTTTAAGTTGTCGTACACATTTGCATGTTTCACTTTGAAGTTATAATAGTGTTTGATGAGCTCGAGAGACGATTCGGGATAATACTTGCACGGCCTCAGAAACCTAATCATCCAGGCTTCATTATTCAACGGGCATTTCAGATCTTTTTCAGCTGTCAAATAAAAATTTTAAATAGTTATAAAAAACTTTAAACAGTTGTAAAAAATATTCAAAAAGTTTAACCCTTACAGTATCATGATCAATTCGGTGTTTTACTATATTTCTCTATTATCGAGGATACCTCAAATCTATTCATCTTTTCACCTATTTAAAATCGTTAAAAAAAATCTCTAAAAATTCACAAATATATTTTCAACTTTGTAGAACAAATGTTTGAACTTCATTTTGGAAAATAATAAAATGTAGTATAATTTAATTATCAAAAACTGTAGTATAATTTAATTATCAAAAAATGTAATAGTATAATTTAATTATCAAAAAGCGTCATAAAAGAAATTATAAATCAGATAAAAGTGGCATTTGATTTTAAAAATTGTAACAATCTATAATAAATGCACATAAAAAAAAGCCTCGCAAAATCGTGCATAAGTCTCCTCCCTCCCTTATAAATTTTCTATATCACCGAGTCCGTTTACGTAATATAAAAATTAATAAACATTTAGCCATATCAAAATTTGCCGATACTTATTAAATACGTACAAATAGATAGCGTAAAAGAATATGTGCAGCAGTTTCTTTAAAAAAAATTCCCTAAAATATAAGCTACATTTTTATGTTCTGCACTGGAATACTCTTTAACGTGTTGATATTTACAATAATTCATATTTTATTTTATATTTTTTATTTCGTATTTCATAATGTTTACATTAATTCAACAGATTTTTTATATTCAGCACGCTACCTTTTAATAATTCTTGCAGGCGTGCTATCGATTGTTTTTGCATCTCAGGAGACTCTCTCAATTCCTTCCTGGCTACTTCTTGCATTTCTGGATTAGGAGAATCTAACTCGAACTCGAGTTTAAAATCTCCGAGTTTTATAAATGGCATTTCAGTGAGGTCCGATAACATGATTTCTGAAAAAATGATAACATGTTAGCAAGTTTTCTTTAGCCAATATTTATTCAATTTTTCTTTAACAGATATTTTCTAACAGCAATAGTTTGTGTCAAGGTTTGAGTCTAGTTTTCCTCAATGCATTTTGGTTTGTAGATTAAAATCTAAAACAGATATTAGAAAAATGTTATTACAAAATGATAACAAAACATAAATAATTGTCGATTTTTACACGAAAATTAGATTTTTATGTTTACATTGTTACCATTTTGTAATAATATGTTTCTAATAGTTTATTTTAGGTTCAATCAATTCAAATAATATTTGAATGAGCATAATTTCACTGAAATTGAAGATGAGGAGCGTTCTTCTAAATAATTACCTACCATAATTTTATTTCTAAGAAATTAAAAAACTATTAAAAATTAAAAGCATTATAGTGGAGTATTTTCTATTATTACCGATAGACCACTTAACGCATGCAATAGAACAGTATTGACGGCCTCTAGTAAATTTATCATAAAAACTTATAAGAGAAAATCTATTGAAACACATTGGCCATAAATTGTTTCCCATAAAGAACATTTCGACTTTCATAGTTTGAAAACCATAGACATCTATAGGTCGATACATGAAACACTTAAACATTAAAATTGATAAGAGTTTAATAGATAAAACACTACAGAAAATTATACTCATAGAATCTTATTGATAACTGTAGAGTTTCTATAATCGTTCTCGTGCGTTACTATAGAAACTATTGAAAACTAGTATAATAAATACCTATACAAATTCTATATGTTTTTACAGTTTTTTATAGAAAATTTTAAACAGGGCAGTTTTTTATCTTATATTGTGTATTTTATTTGAAATATTAAATTCAAGCAAGTCCATAATAATATATAATATACTTAGGATATATATAATTTTCGATAATAATCACTAATCGTATAGACGTAATATATTTATATTCATAACATTACATGAATGGTAAGCAAGAACGACTGACGTTTACAAAAAATCAAATGATATTGTCAATAGTTGCGTAAATCGATAAAAAAAACGTGTTTTTATCGATCCTTCATAGGAACGATAGTTAATTAATGCATTACAAATATAGCCGATCGAATCCAGAGGCTACGGAATAACACTTTTCATTGGCGCGTTACGTTCACGCGACTGCCATTGGAAACGTGACTCAGCAACGTTATCAGAAACATTCGAAGAAGTCATTCTATGGTCAGAGAAACATTCTGAAGTCTCAAACAACTGTAACTGCGGTACATTTGTACAATATTGCATAATTATGATTACTCAAAAAGTTCATATGGATCTTTAAAAAAATTCAAATTACTTTAATTATTTTCTATTATTTTCTGCACATGTATAAGCGAATAGAGATTATACAAGAGAAAAAACATATTATATATTATATAATATGTATTTTATACATATATAATTATATTTATTTATATATGATTATATATGTAAATTTTATACTGGAAAACAAAAAAAATTTGTAAGACACACGTACGTTATGCACATCTATTAAAGTTAAAAAAGTACAACAAAAAATTGGTAGTGCTGTATAAATAGTGTCTACTGATCATTACATTAAGTTATTCTTCGTGATGGATGAACAACCAAAAGAAACGAAATGTATTATATTGATGACAATACGTATGTTAATCACAGTATAATTTTGCCATGTTCTTGACCTATGTTCTTGACTATATAATTCTTATAGGACAGTTGATTGTCAGAATTATTATATTATATTATTGTCAGTATATCATAAATTAAAAATATATTTCAACAGATTGTACTACACTGAAAGAAAACTACACTGAAAGAAATTGATTACTGTAGCAAATGAGATGGTAAAATATGGCATAGCATTTTGAATTGGCTGCTGCAAGGCTGTAACCAATTAAAAATGTTAAGCCATATTCAGCCAATCTTTTCTTTCAGTGTAATCTCTTCATATTTAAAGTGCAATTGAAAAGCATAATGTAAAAAGAATGACGTATATGTAGAGAATGATTTTGCTGAAATATTTAAAAATTCAAATAGATACAAATCTGAAAAGAAGTTTTGTTGGAGCATCAAAATACATTATATTGGATATTCAAGCATGATGACCAATTTTATCTGTATGAAAAAATATGAACGCGTTAAGAAAGTGGCACTATTATTTGTTGACATAATGGCTGACAATTTTAGATACCGCGTACAATAATATTATCATTAGACTTTATATAATATTATCATTACTACATGATACGAATCGAGATTGATGACTTAGAAAGACAGACCTTGAGAGAGAACCTTGACTTTGCGACTAAAAGGAAAGTGATGTAAGGCTTTTAGCAAGTTCTTGTGTAACTTTCCAACCTGTTTTCTCTTCATATTTGAAGTGCAATTGAAAAGCGTAATGTAAAAAGAATGACGTATATGTAGAGAATGATTTTGCTGGAATAGTTAAAAATTCAAATAGATACAAATAGATACAAATAGAAATCTGAAAAGAAGTTTGTTAGAGCATCAAAATTATATACGATATTCAAGCATGATAACTAATGCAAAAAATTATGACATTCTAGGAACCAGTTTGAGCGTCTTATATCAATCTCTCCAACAAAATTTATTTTAAATCTGAGGCATTCCTTATTAAATCGGGCACCTTTATAACAACATTTTTCTTTTTAATTTGCTGATATATTCTACTAATAAAAATATGAGACATGTGTTTCGCGAAAAAAATTTGAGGTTTTTTTGTGAATTTATTTACGCTTGTAAGTTGCAGAAATTCATAAAAAATGTCACTCATGCGAACATTTAAATTATTATATCGTCGAAACTATTAGTATGCGGAACGGCGCCGTTACATAACAGAATTTCGTAACTATAGCCCTTTCGAGTTTCATTTTGAACTTTTTTTCTGAAATTCTGTAATAAGTATATTTTAAGATTATTATCAAGAAAATATTCTTTAAAGATAACCGTTACTTAAAAGAAAGAAAATTAATTGAGTAATCACTTTTCTTAGCAATAGATTGATTTTTTTCTGTGGGTACTTGTTCTTCAGTATGCGTTGCTTGCTATACTAATATCGTTTAGTAATTTACATGCGAACGAGTTAGTACACTACTGCGATCAGTTCCTGTTGGTCGCGCGTACCTTATCGTGACTTATAAACAAGTGCAATGTGCGCATGTTTTTATTTTAAATTTCCCCGCGAGAGCTGACGAACTATTCGTGTGCGCGCACTGCGCGTAACGATTACGGGATATCAGATTCGAGATGAAGAATGGTGTAACAGAATGTGTAATGTTACATTATGCGCCTGAACTTGCGATTTTGCAGGGTACAATTATGCAACGCCTAAGCCGAACGTTATTATACACGATGCAGCGAGATAATTTCACGATTGCACGCGAGATGGTCTCTATTTTCTATGCGGCGCATTGTGTGGCGGATCGCGAATTAGCTCAGACTTTTGATCGCACGATTGCGTCTACGTGAGAATTAATTACGACGTTGTTCTTATATTGCAAATCGATAAATGCTAACACAAGTAGATAATATATATTCTTACAGTATTATACAAAACGCATGCACATTGCAATTATACGAAAAAAATGGTCATTATTTGTCGGTAGAGCATCTCAATTCAATTTCATTCCACATGCGATATAAAATTACATAATGATGCACATTAATCAGAAAGAGAAGATGAGTCATTTGGAATCGCGCGGAATTTTCACTCAGCTTTTTTTCTATATTTTGTATGGCACTTATCTAATATATATGAGGATCGTAATAAGCAATGTTTACTTATGTATAATCTAGCTTGTTCAATGTAAAGATTACTGAGGGATTACTTTACAAATATTCTTTTACGCAGGTAAATACCAAGAGATATTTTCGTTACGTGCATTTAAAAAAAAACGCGCATACATTGATACTTGGTCGACTTGTTTGCAGACGAAACATGTCATGGCAAACTGCGTTTCAAGTTCGAAGTTAGGTGCTTCGTCTTCTACGAAGTCGTTTACGAGGCACTTCTGCTTTAATGGTATATCGATCTTTTATACACGATATTCATTGATATAGAAGGATCAGAAATGATTTCTTCTGAATGAAAATTTTAAGGTAATTAATTTAAGATTACCGAAGCAATCTTTAAGTTATGAATCGCCAAAAAACAATGAATTATTGCAAAATAAATTTTAAAGATATATAAATAAAGAATTATTTTTTAATCAACTTTAAATATATACTAAACTAACTATGTAATACTTGACTATACAATTATTTTGATATAATTAATGATGTATTAATAATATGCTTATTATATAAATGATCAATCAATAATTAAGATATATCAATTATATATCTTAATATATTAATAATTAATAATTAAAATACATCATTGTATAATTGCTTTATACAATGATATAATTAATGATCACGTATTTACATTAAAATATTATTTTAAAGGAAAAAGAATATTGTGAGAAAATAATCCAGAAATAGTTTAATAAATATATTCCGATCTCATAAACACAAATATCTTTAGACGATGCTCTTAGAAACGAACCATGTTCACCTAGATACTCCCTTTCACTGTTTTACTATTTGGCAATCGTGAATATACTCAAGTGCACTTTACCTCGCTTTCGGGATGACTATTATGTAAACAACTGGCAGCCGACCAAACATCCTTTCACGAATTGCGAAAAGCGTGTATTTGAGAGCAAATTAACAATTTCCGCTAGCGTTTGATTTCTATATCGAAACAATTGCGACAAGTATATTTCAATGCAAATATGATAGAATGACTTTACTGTAAAAATAAGACATAATAGTCTCTCTCTCTCTCTCTCTCTCTCTCTCTCTCTCTTCATCTTTTAATTTTTTTTCGATTTAATCATTGTATTCTATTCCATTTTATTTCATCTTCATTTTTGTTTTCTATACCAATCATAACCTACTTTATGTTATATTTTAACTTATT